ACGTGTGCTCTTCCGATTTGATATTATAGCATTATAAGTATTCATACTTATTTATAAAGCATTTATATAACAAAAATCGTGATCTTAATAATGTATTATTCAAATAAATCGCAAATTTATGTTAAAAGTCGATAACATCGACACTCTGCAATTACCTCCGGACTGGCACGAAAATTTTCCCAGGGCTTACGGTCTTTAATAATATCTCATCGGTGATAAAATTCACTTAAAAAAAAGCAACCTCATTGCTCACGAGTGTACGTCCATACGTATCTCACCACGTGCAGAAAAACTGACCGAGGGCTGGTCAATCGAACTCTCGCTTTTCCGGAAAAAACGAAAATTGACTACGATTTCAAAAATTTTCTCGAGCGTGAGAAAAACTGGACGAATATTCGGATATTCTGTAAATCATTTGTATAACACAGAATTGGGTAAATGAAATACCTGAATTTAATTTTTCACTCTGATTATTTCAATCATCTAAAGAATATTTTTACTACACATATATATACGTGTAATTTATTATTGCATAAACAATTATATTACATAACGTACAAAATATATCAAGTATATTGTACTCTTTTGACAATCATTTATCAACTATACAATATACATATGTATATAGTACTATTTGAGTATCAGTGATTAACAAACAGTGAGTAACAAAAATGTCATTAAAAATGTGTATAAATTTTATAAACTTGTATATATATTTACATGTGTGTGTACAGAATGTCCAATTTTAATTCGAACGGACAAAATTAGGTTAGATTAGAGATTTGAAGGAAATTCATCATAAAATGATTAAAGTTTAATTGTACTTTGTCTAGCACCCTCAAGATTATGTAAGTGATTTTTCTTAAAACAAAACCATACAAATTTTCATTTAATAAATAATTAATTTTCCATGATATTTTGTATAAAAATATTCACAAAAAATATAGTTTATAAAATATTTAAAATTTTGATATACTGCCTATAAAATATTTATTTTTATAAGGATGACATTAGCTTTATATTTATATGTACAAAACATCACGGAATATTACTTAAGTATATCAAGTATATTACAAAAATTTATATTGTTTCACTTTAACAAATAACAGCTATTAGTGTGATCTTGAAGATGTATCATTCAAGCTCAAGTTAAAATCGCTATTTTTTGTCTTCCTGAAACCAAGCAATTTTTGTTTGAGACGTTTTTTTTCCTTTCCACTTAGTTTACGTGTTTATAATTTAATTCTTTTGAATTAAAACGGAATATCCTGTACATGTGCGTCAAACCTTCACATCTATTGTGTCACATGTATTATTGTTTTATTGTAGGAACATTTTTTTTATTGGCAACTAGCTCGTACTATATGCGCTAATGATAAACATCAATTATTATACTCGATTAAATTGACTGGACAATTGTACTCTTTTGTAGCAGACAATTACCAAGATTTTAAAATAGATCACACGTGCGCACACAGAGATCCTCCTTAAGCGTAGAAAAATATAGTCGATCACAAACTCGGAAAATATTCCGTCTATCAAATTTAATCTAATCAAGACTAATCAAATTTAAGACAATCCCTAAATAATGTACGAAATATTTGTAGTCAAATTTGCCGGGAGATCAACTGACCTCTGTAGGATACTTCTTCAAAGATCGTTTGATACATTCCGCTATTGTGGATCTGAAATGGAACACACGTGCCGATAAAATTTTTCCGTATTAAATAAAAAAAAGGGCAAACAGAAAAATAAATTTTTATATAATAAATTTTGCAATACCTGAAGACTTTCTGATGAAGAAGGTACGCGCTGACATGTCCAGCGTCGATGTAACGAATCTCAGCTCCCGGCCATATCGTTTCCAGGCTCATGCAATGATCTCGCGGTACGTAAGCGTCGTTCTTGGCGCAGACGGCAATGATCAATTCAGTGTCAACGGGCACTTCAAAGTTCTTCAGGTGTGTGCACTCGTCCATTATGCCGCGCATAAATTGCAGCGCCTCGTGCTCGCGCCATTTGTTGTCTGAAAACAGCGGATGCTTCGGCACTGGCAACAAGCAAACGCCTGTCACAGGAAAAACAACGATTCATAAAACCACATGTTTACATGCTGCTCAGGATTGCCAAACGCAAGGTTTATAAACACGTAACAAACATCTGAATAAACATTTAAACTGTTTTTATTTCATTACGAAAACAAGTATGAATCAAAGATGTTTATATTTGACGTATGTATTTTTGTATTCCTCTTTCAAACTACGTGAAATTAATGAATTGAATGCAGGATATGCGAGTTAACTACACGCGATTGATACGTACCTTTGAGAGCATTGGGATCCTTCGATTTGAATCTGTTGGAAATCAGATTCAGGGGGAATATTTTGGCCGCCGCCTTCTCTTCTGCAATTTGATATTGCAACTGACTGCCGTTATTTTTGGGTACGGTGGAAACGTTATTGCTAGGATTATCGACAGAATTTGTACTAATTGCAGTATCACCCGCAGTATTATTGTCTTCGTTGCTTTCTGTAGACTCGTCTCTCAATTTATCTACCCTCTTCATGCTCGCAGGAAAGTGCTTTGCAAAATGTTGGCCAGCTAAAAAGGCATCCTGAAAGCATGTCCAATGAAGGGAAAGTAAAGAGATAAAACTGAGACAAAATTATTAACAAAATTACAAAAATCATACACTTACGTCGTGATCGATAATCTTCACCATTTTTGCGAGATCATTTTGATATACTTCGTCCGAAAAGTATTGCGTTTCCAATAGTGCCCAATTTATCGATGCGCTCATTACCCCTTCCGTAAATACGGGCGAAGCAGTTGACCACGACAGACAAGGTACTAGTGAGATTGGCTTCGGCCAGTTGGTGGCCGCTAAGGATGCCATCTGAAAAGAACGAGGAATTACTTAGATGCGCATAATACGACGAGCTTAACTTTATTACGGCACAAAAAACCAACATGTCCACCCATCGACAATCCAGTGAGAGCCAACGGACCAAACCCATGGTGTTCGCACCAGTTTAACAAAACAATCGATTCCATTATCAGGCAGCCTCCCATAATGAAAATGTCGCACACATTGTGTAAACTGGACCGTCTGAAAAAAAAGAAACGCAGCGAGGGAAAAAGAATGTAGTAGGGGAAAAACAAATCTGTAAGATCTTAGTCGATTACGTAACTTTGTACGTTACTTTTTACAAACCTTTCAATTAGAGTTCTTACTTTTGATCATCTGGCTTTCTCAGCCCATAAAATGGATTCTCCAACAGTATCGACGCAATTCCAGATTCCTTGAGTAGCGGTTTAGCGATAAGATTTCTACGTCGCCAAAAAAACTAGTTAATAAGTAAAATATATAAATATCTTGGAAAAAATAGAATTGTATCATATAAGTACTATGAGAGGCAATTAATGGCAATAGAAAAGGATAAGACACTACATACGTGATCGCCCGTTCCCGCAAGATGCAAACAAATTGGCTTTGTCTTATGAGAGCTCCATTTGGGTGGTAAGACCATCTGAAAGTAAGCCATCTTGGCCTTATCTGGCATTATCCCTGGAAGATGCTTCTCAAATGGCGATTCGAATCGACCCTCGATTATATGACAGTCCGACCAGACTTCATCCTATGGACGAAAAACACATATATCATTTTTTTTTTTTTCTTACAACCAGATAGAATCTGCGTTATTCGAAAGAATTGCGAAATACTTTTGTTATCTCTATCGGGTAGTCAAAAGGTATCATGTTGTAGCACGCTTCCCGATTTGCGATAACTTTCCTGAATTCAAAAATTCTGAAACAAAATGATTCAAATTATTCAAAATGCTAGATGCTGCTTAGATATTATTTGTGTTTAGAGATACTAGTTTAGATATTAAGTGCAGTATCAACATCATAAATGTCCCACAGAATTGACAGAAAAATTGTTACTACAAAATATGATTTCATGAAGTGAGAAATCATGAAGAGAATAAGTATCTACACATCTTTTACACGTGTTCATATCGCGTTAAAAAAAAAAAAAGATAAAAGGCGATGAAATGTCTGTAATTCTCAGACGTGACGCTTCCACATCTGTTAATCTTTCAAAACACACACGAAATATCTTAATAGTGCTGAGTCAGGCTGCACTCCGCCCAAGTATCTGTCATCGTTTCGAGGCGAGAGGCACTTTAGATATGAATCTCACACGGAGATAACGATGGAAGGAGCGATCCGGAGTGAAGTATTCAACAAGTGACATCGGGCTGTTAGGTTAGATCAGGTTAGCCACACTCACCTTCGCAGATTCTGCGGATTGCCCCAGCCCTTCGTGAAGAACTTCGTGAGCAGGATGCTCCGGTAGACCGCGTCCAGGCGACTCGGCGGCATCGCGGCGACGAGGCGGGTACTCGGTCCCTGTACGTTATTTACTCGTATCGCGCCGTCGTCGTCGTCGTCGTGCGAACCCCGGTATTTTCGCGCATCTCACGCGAATAAGAGCCGAACGGTCCCGCGTCTGTGTATCATCGTCCTCGTATCCCGGAGCTGTTTCGCGGTCGCGAAAAAAAACACAAATAGACGTGGAGTGTCGCTCTCACTCGACGCGGGATCATTGACGTGCCGACATCTCGCCGCCGTCAGCTGTGTGCCGTGCCGCTGCTGCGCGCGTAAAATGCGTAAGTAGATATCGCGCGCGGGGTGACCAATCGAAGAGCGAGTGGTCGATCGAACGATAAGCGCAATCGTATTCGCATTCCAGTCCAGCGGCGCGAACGACGCTCGGACGATGAACGAATGCCGCCTCGCCACGTGTCTTCGCGTCTAAGTATGAATTTATTTAGTCCCTCGGTTACGAAGGCCGACTTCGATCGAGGCTGCGATTGACTTAATCGACGGAATTAATTCGACTGACGAAATCACTTGTGGCTCATTTCTACTAGTTTCTACCTAAATAAACTTTAATCTTTAATTTCCTCTTTATTTTTTTCGGAATTCCTAATTTAGAACGAGATAAAGATAAGGAGTAAGTTAAACTGGGATTGTAAGTTCTACATTGATGGAAATGGACGAGAATCACTTACAGCGATAAATTTCTAATCGATTCTAATTTTTAACTAATTCTAATTATTTCTTAATCTCATTTCTTTTTTCCTATGTTATTTCCTATGATATTTCTTTATTCCGATGTTAAACATCGGTAAGAGACGATTAATTCTGTCCGTGCTAACAAAATAGATATTACTTGATAAGTTAATTAGTTAGTGTTTGATCTGACTTTTACGCGCGGAAAGAGACATAAATGCATGTTTCGCTTCCGTGAATTAATTATAGATACCTATAATGACTGATTGGCGCGTATCGTGTTCGATGCGCAAAATTGATTATTTTAAACGACGATCTACATTACAGATAGAAAATGCATAGAAAAACGTGTATTTGGAAATAATTTAATAATAATCATATGTGTACACTCCCGTAATAAATTTATTAGCTCGAATCTTTTGATTTACACGATACAAGATGTACAATATATTTTCGTTAAAATGTGTAACATAGATCTGTTAATAGATCTATGTTACTCGTACATTATTTGAATAGATCTATTACTTGTGGCACCAATATGAAAATTATAATATAAAAAGATTACAGATTATTTTTCAATATTTGATTTTTAATGCATTTTATTTATCTTCCGCGCACGCATGCACACACACACACATACACACACACACACACACACGCGCGCGCGCATAAGTTTCATTAATGTTTTCAATATAATCTCACGAAAAAAATGGCTTAAGAATTAAAAGAAAATTTCATTACTTTATTATTAAAATGTGATAGAAAAATCCTGCGTTTCCTTCTTAGACAGCACGTGAATTTGCATTTCTTTTTCCGGGCTGCAATTCACCATTTTATTCAGTGAATTCAGTACCACTTTGTTAAAAAGTAATCTTAGGCTTGACAGCTTCAAAGCGTAACGCAGCACAAATCTGGAATAACATAATTAAGTACATCACTGTACAATTGAACTGGTTTTCATGTTAAACAACCCGTGTCGCAAAAGTTACTTACTTCCAAATCTTATAAGCGATCCAGTCTGCATAGCTGAGAGACGCGTGCAAACGCGGCATGCTTATGTCAAATAAATCTGTAACGAGTAATACCGCGGACTTGTAAGACATGTACATCATGGGAAAGTAATTGAACGGTTCGACGACGCATCTGGTCATGTGTTCCCACTCGGGTGTCACTTCCTTCAAATTAGGTATCATCCAATATTGATAGAAATCCCGCAAGCGTTGCTTTATTTCCTCAAGGCTGCCACGGCAGAAGTTATATCTGACAAGTAGCGTATAACGAGGCTTCAATTAATGATGCAACATTTTCTGGAATACGTCAGCGACACATATATCTTACTTTGCGTCGCATCCAAAAGAAATGCTTCAACGCGATACATCATATACGTACTCGTCTTCCATTCCGAGGTAATACCCGTAACATCTCCAGATGTGACAGAAAGCCTCGAAATCCTCATCCGTTGCATCGTGCACTCCAAATTCTTGCGGATAAAGTAAAATGAAGCCTACGAAGCAGCATTGAATCATTGCCATCTCGGCGTTGTTTATGTACTTCCTCTTGAATGGCAGATCGACGAACGACTTGTAAGGACGTTGCCCGATCTTCTCGAACGGACATGCCTCGGCGAAATCTTTCAGCAGCAATTCGCGATCCGGGCACCATGGATTCTCGAATTTGCACGCGTCGTCGACTTCGTGATTATTAAGCCGCGACAGTTTGGCTCTCATCACCTTGTGCATTTTACGTACAACTTGCATGTCCTTGAACGCAGGCGTTCCCTTGGTCCAAGGATCTCCGGTGAACCAGTTCATCATCCGGCACATGGTCGATAAATACCTTCGAAATTATTTTTAATTTAATGGAAATTAAATAGTTGTACATCAATTCCGTAAGTGCAATGATATTTAATCTTATTTGTAAAACGATGAATTAACGTAATAATATAACTTATCCAGAGCTGATTGTAGTTAATGCGGGACTGAATCTTGGAGTTCAAAGAAAAATAATCACAATAAAGATAAAAACATATTCTTTAATATTAATAATAATAATTTTCTATATGTTACAAACTCAAACTATCTTTATACTATAAAATTAAGAAATGGATTTTTTTCTTCAAAATGAAAATAAAATAAACATAAAACCTTTGAAAAATAATAATTTTAAAAATACACTTTTCTCGCTTTTGCAGAAGTAAAGTCGTCAATTGCATTAGAAAAATCAGTCTCGTGTGATATCTCTCTTTCTATTGACATCATCGCTAGTCTCACCAGTCTTTCCTATTAATTTAATTATATTAATTTATTAAGGAACTCCGCCGTGCGGAGCTGATGGCAAAATGCGAGACCGCGTGCGATGTACGCCGCTCGCACGTACTTAAAATCGGCCTTGGACTTATCATGTCTTATCATACGGCAACACTTGCAACAAATCTGTACTTGCAGTCTGACATACCTTTTGAACGCTAAATATGGCGTATGAGTACGGTCACTCAGGATAATCGGACTCAGATTACCATCGAAGGTGTAAGCAGGTAAAAGCGACAATATTATGGTCATGGTAATTCCGGTGAAATTATCCTGCACGAATTTTTGCCCTCTGCGGTACTTGTTCATATCCAACCATTCGGGTTTCTCCACCGGAGATCGACCGCAATCTTCTTGACAAAAGAAAGCCGGAATAAAGTTCAGCAAGGACTCTGGCACGTTCGGGTAGAATTTGGAGAGATTGTCATTTATCCAGGCATATCTCCGGCACACCGTCCACTCGTCGAAGTCACTCGGGAATAAGCTTCGGTCGAACGTATTCCGGAACAGATTCACGTAATCATGTTCATCTGAATTTCCGTTTGCTCGTACTTTCGCTGTGCTGTTCAACGTGCCCTCGCAATTTTCGGCATTTTTCCCGAGTGTGTTGTTGGTGCCCGTCATCTTGACGAGGTGAGAATCCTCGACGCGCAACGAGAAGTGACTTTAACACGAGAAGTTACGGCGCACGACTGTTGCGAGATAAGAAGTTACAATGCAACTCACCTATACACTTTCATATCAGTGACGCGTAATAAAAAGTATGACCTAGTACTATCTCATTTATTTCTTCTTCGAAAACACATATTAAGAGATAATTTTTTAAATCGCTTTTGCTATCGTGTATTGCGGGTTTACAATTTATTCAGTTAAAAGTCTATATGTCTGAAATAATGTTTTTGCTCAAACTTCCCATGTCAGAATCGATTTTTTATATTGTTTTTTTATTATCAAAAAAAGCGACTTGGTTTACCGTCCAATTATATTTCAGTTAATATGTAACTTTATTACTTATTAGCGAATGTCATTAGCTATTCTATCATATCTTTTCTAACATATTGCTAAATTTTACTTTGCTATCTTATTTATGTTTATAAAAAACGAATAATTCCTATGTATCTTTAAACTTAAAAGAAAAAATTTTAATCTTTTATGAGAACTTGAAATTCGAATGTTCTATTTGAATTATTCGATACATTTTTTTATTTTGAAAATTCTGCGCACTTTTCTTCATTACGAATGACTTAATTATGCAGATCTCGATGGCATTATATAACAAATTATTCATAGATCAAACACGATGAACACGCATTTTTGATATTGCGTATTGCTTCTTTCAAAACACGTATTCTTAAAGCTATATAAATATATAAAACTAATTGTATATAAATATATTTTTCTTCTCTCTTTATTTTTATAACATTTTATTTTATTGTTATATTTTTTTTAATTATATTTTATTATCTTCGTACTTTTTTATGATTTTGAAATGCAGAAAGATATTTATAATATAAGTTAACAATATTATCTAATATTGTTCCATTCCGTTAATATATATTATTCTAGTAACACTTATTAATGGTCTACTAATACTAATGTTTTATAATTTTTATATAGTAATATCCAATAATATATTCCAAGTCTGTATGGATCGATAGTATTTGGTGCTATCAATTCTCATCTACAAGCTTCTGAGATCTCCTCTTGAATTCCTTATGCTTTTCGGGTCCAGCTTCTTCGAGTGCCTTATGCAACATATTATTCAAATACTCTCTAACGAATCGTAACTTACAGGCATAGCGCAATATAAAACTGAAATTATCGAAAGAAATAATTATCAATATTATTGCTATAACGGTTGTAAACGTAAATAAGATGAGCAATAAAATATGACAAAAAATTTTATATTTTATCTTTAATAGATCTTCATAAATTTCTCTAAATGATAAAAACTTCTTTATGTCAAACCAATTGATTACACGAAATTGATTATGAAAGACTTGATCTTTACTCATTTCCAAGAAATAATTTGGACCATAAAAAGTTTTGTCAATAATGTAATCAGTTTCGCGACTTCTGACAGTTATAAGAGAATTCTCGCGCATTATATTTGTTTGTACTTATTTGGCTTGCGATATACTCACCGTAGAAATATAAGAAGTAACAGTTCAGAATAAGTGAGCGTACTTCGTATACGTGGCATATCGATGTTCAATAAATTGGTGACGAACAGTAGTAATACCCTGAAAGGGAAAATATTACCGTAGTAACTTGAACCTTTCACAAAGCATCTCAACATATGTTCCCATTCAGGCGTTACTTTTGGCAAGTTGGGCTTCATAAAAAATTCGACGAAGTCGCGCGACCTTTGCTTAATCTCCTTTAGACTGCCGCGGCAGAAATTATATCTGGGACATTTATTTTTGTCAAATACAAAAATTCTAATGACACATATAGATGACAATTGACAAGTAAGGAAAATGCTCAAGCGTTGAAAAGTTTATCATACGAGTATATACCTATCCAGCCATATGAAATTAAGACGGAAGAGACAGATCGGAAGCAAAAATATGCATTGGATAAAATTAGATTAACGTGAATAAATTTATGATTAAATATGTCATAAATTTATCAAAAGAAAACGTTTTAAAAGATAGAGAATCAAAAAGCTGTCATTGATCAAACTTATCATATGTCACAGTCTTATTAATTTATTATTTTATCATTATCGAAGATGTTATTATTTAATGAGTGATAAGTGAATTTATACAGCGCACCGATACGTACCGGTCCTCCATGCCAAGAAGATATCCCAGACCTCTCCATGTGTGGCAAAAGGCTGCCAAATCTTCATCGTTAGCATAAATGCCGAGCTTGTGAGGGTACAACACAATTAACCCGATGAAAGCGAATTGCGTGGCTGCCATATCAGCTTGATTCAATCCTTTGAATTTGATTATTTGATCGATATTTATCTCATTTTCCAGTTAAAGCTGGACAGGCAGAAAAGTCTTCTAAAATTGTTTCTCTGTCCAGACACCATGGATTTCGAATTTTACTAGCCATATCTATCTCCTCATTGTCGCGCTCGCAGAGTTTCATTCGCACCGCATGGTGCATTCTACGCACAACTTGCACGTCGTTGTAGGCTCGCGTGCCTACGGTCCACGGATCGTACGTCATCCAATTTACTACACAGCGACCCGTAGACAAGTACCTTCAATGATGATCAGAAAAGAATATAGTAAATCGAATCTAATTCAATTCTATTGCTTTATAGGTATATCACCGAAATTAAAAAATAATGTTACTATACAAATATTCAAAAATATTTATTTCGCTTAATTTTACTAATTGTAATTAAGATTTATAAATTCTAATAAGATTTTGCAATTAATCATTCCCGATAATTAATTTGTCATTAATTTTGCATGGAATGTATTCAATATATAACATATGTATAATTTAAATCAAATCAATTAAAAATTGAATAAACATGGCAAAAAAATTAATTGTACAAGAAAACCTAACAATAAGTCGAATATTATTTGAATATTAACTTGAACTCCATATATCATTAAAATATTTGAAATTTAAATTTTAAAGGCAATCTTTTATTACTATTACTATACTAATATTGCGTTCACAGAGCACTACTGTATATGTATACTAAATTTTTGTTGTTTATTTTATAAGGATAGGATTTTAAAACGCGATAATATTTGATTTAAAAGCAAGCAAAATAATACTTGCAAACATATAATCTCTTCTATGTTATTTTTTCGATGTCAGTTGACGTAATTCTCAAGATCTGTCAATGCACATACATGCGGTTTTTTTCTCAAGACAAACTGTATATTTATGAGAGTCATTTATTTGAATAACATTATAAATCATTATAAATGTAAAGTTACAAACAACTTGGCGTCCGCAAGGGGGGGGGGGCAAGGAGGAGCACTTGCCCCTCTCCCTATCTGAAATCAAACAAATGTAAGGAAAATTCAGAATTTGCTCTCTTATTTTTACAAATAATAAATATGTTTGTCAAATGTGAGAGAACTAAAATACAACACAGGTACACAACGTTTGGACATTTGCTAATCACGTTAGTTTGTATTAAAAATTTGAATCATGTCCCCCTCTAGAAAAAATCCTGCGGACGCCCTTGGTTACAAATATCATATTGACTCTCCAGATTCATTTATTAAACTGTTCCACATTTAAAGACTAGTTTTATTGTTAGTTCTTAAGTAACGCGCTTACAAATCAATTATATAATCTAAGATATTTTATCGAAATCGTCATGTACCTCTTGAATGCTAAATACGGCGTGTGAGATTGTCGGCTAAAGATTAACGGTTTAAGACCATTCGTGGAAGAGAATATCACGAAAAGTGATAACGAGTTAGCTATGAAATTTGAGAAGACATAGTCTCGCGCGAATTTTTGACCTCTCTGGAATTTTTCCATGTCCAACCAGAGCGGCTTGTCCGTCGAATTTCGACCGCAATCTCCCCGATGTATTGCAGCCGGAAGCAAGAAAGATACGGAGTCTGGTATATTTGGGATATATATTTTTACGTTATTCATTCCATATTTATATTTTTCTTCGTTCGTCCATTTGTCAGAATCCTTCGGGTACGTAGCATTCGGATCGACAATATCTTTCGCACACTTCACAACATGTTCGATGAATTCAGCGGCGCTTCTTGCCTCTGCAAATTCATAACGTTCGTTTACATTCTTTACGTATTCATCGATATCGTCGTTTTGATTTTTTGCACTTGATATGGTTTCTTTCACAATATTCTGGATATCCTGTTCTACGCGATCTGAATTGTCATCATTCATAATTTTCGTTTGTGTCTGCTCTACCCATCGAATGTAGTCACCTGTCACTTCCATTTTTTACTTTTTTTTATTAGCAATTTTAATTTAATTGCTTTGAACAAACTACCCTGTGTAATGTAAAACAACATTAATATGATAAGGCTTGCAAAAGAAATTAGGAAAATACACTCTCGCAGTTGCAGCTTAATTATTTTGTATTTGAAAAAAGAGATTGTATGTGGCCGCGTCAGTAAACAAAGGCAAATTGATAAGCTTGTCAGGTATCGAATTATGATATTCCATAATTATCCCCATTTATGAGAACTACGAACCGGTATTTTTCCCAGACAGTACACAGAGTTTAAAATGAATTCATTCGTATATTCAGTCACATGTCATCAAATTTATTTTTAAGTGCAAAAATATTAATTTCAGAACTTTTAGAAAAAGAATTCTTTTTCAAAATGAACTTAGAATGGATGAGATCTTTTTGAATTTTCTGTGCTGTTTGAATTGCCTATTTACTTGCGCGCGTATACAATCTCAAAAATACGTGCCTTTACGCGCGTATAAGTATATAATATTCGGTATTTAACACAATACAGAAAAGAAATTAAATGACGTGTTTGTGACTACAGATTTTGTATGTAGAGAATTGTATAAATGATTCATAAACGCATATATCAATATTTTAGGATACAAATGTATATTTTAAATATAATAAATAAGAAAAACATGTTACACGAATGCTATATTGTCTAAGAAGAAAACGAACTTAAGCGTTCCTTTTCTTTAATTTTGGCTGTTGTAAAGCAAAATAAAAAACATTTTTTATAAGTTTTAGATTATTTTTACATATAATGATAGTGATGTATTTATTAAAATAGTAAAACA